CAATAACTCTATTATTCGATAAAACCTTTTGAAGGAATTGTAACCAAACGATTGGCACAACATGGTACCAACTTCACTCCCACACCCATAACATAACTACGACAATTACGTAATGAGACTGCGCGTTACTTAAGTTTTAAACTTTTGTGTTAAAATATATCAACTCCTTATGGTTCGTATAGACCAGACACAATACCCGGTTTAGAACAATACGCTGGAGTTTCATGCCCATAATTCAATACCAAAATCCTCAAGTGGTGTTCTCGAGTACAATATACACACGTAGTTCGTAACCTCGCGACGCATAATTCATATATAAAGGACGGCTTTGAGCCTGAACCACCCGTTAACGCGATGTCTAAAAGCTCTTCGGTCATACTACACGAGGTTGTGTAAATCATTCCGATAAATTAAGAAGAATTGTTACAAACCTATTCGCCAAGCTAGGATTTCGTTTGATGTATGTTATGATTATTTTTTTCAATTAAGTTATCTCTCTATTTCCAAGAATTAAAAAAATCAAATAATAACGTTTTTAAATTGAATCTATTTTAAAAGATTATGAGGTATTTATATTGACAAGTTTTAGACCTTGACTTGAGGTAAATTTATGCATTTTCACCATAATCAAGAGAGTCCTAAGTTTAGCCAAAGTATTGACAAATATCGGATTGATGTGATATTAATTGTAGCGAGATATATATAAAAGGAGTAAGAACTGAAAATAGTTTGCTATGCGGACAATGCTGTCCTGTTGTCGACGGATGAAGATAACAATCTGGATACTGCAGCAATGCGAAAAAACAGCAACAAAATTCAATAGGAACATTTCGCTTTCAAAACAAATCTCTTAGAATAGCAAAGGACTCACGCCATTGCAAATTGGCAGTATACAACAAGCCAATAGGTGATTTGTTTTTAATATTTTAAATATCTCAATAACCTCCAAGAAGAAGTTAAAGCACAAACAGCGAATGGAGCTTTGATATCAAGTTAAAGAAGAGAGACCATGTTGAACGTATGGAAGTTTTAATGTTGCCAAAGATAGTTAAAGAAGGTTCAAGAGGTAACAGGCTTCTCCGGGGTAGGAGCTCCCATGCAAAGCTGAATCTCAACCGATTGTGGAGAATATCAATAATCTAATGTGATCAAATCAACTAGATGTAAGTTTGCAACTATTGCAACCATTTTGGTTCCTGAACTATCACTTGTCAGAACAGAAGCAACACTGAGTTTATTTTCTTGAAGTCTTTGCATACGAGAATTCATAGGAAATTTTGAGAAACACTTCTCATCAAAATAATTTCTAGTATAGAAAACATTCATATTTAATCATAAAATTGTAACAAAGATAGAGTGGTAGTGAAGGGATTGTAAGAAGCTACATTTGCTTAACTTCTCCTTAGGCTCTCCTACCCAATTGCGAGTCTTTCCTCCATGCTGGTGATCCTGGAAACTTGAGTAACCCTCCTGAAATCAACCTCGGAAGACTGTGTGGAAACCAACCCTAGTGGGAAGCAGAGGTTGGTTTCCACTTTAACTTAAGGAGGGCCACATAGGGGGAGTATAGGCATAGGTTAAGGGTTAAGGAAGGTAATGGTTCAATCTTTTTAGGTTATAGAGTCATAGAAGAAGAAGATGAATTAACAAAGAATGCAAAAATATCTAAATTTCATGATTTTGACATAAAGAATGTTATAGATTAAAATGTAATAAAGAGGGACACTTGAAAAGATTCTGTTTGCTGACCTAAGGATGATTGCAGTATTTCAATTTCGTTTCTAACATAGACAAATGGTGCTATTTCAAATTCAAGAGGAAAGAGGCTTTTCCGGGGTAGGATGGGGTGGTACCAAAGCTGAAGGTCAGCCGATTATGGAGACTATCAATAATTTAAAGCGATCAAATCAACTAGATATAAGTTTGCAACTATTGCCATTTTAATTCCTGAACTATCACTTGTCAGAACAGAAGCAACACTGAGTTTATTTTCTTGAAGTCTTCGAATACGAGAATTCATAGGAAATTTTGAGAAACACTTCTCATCAAAATAATTTCTAGTATAGAAAACATTCATGTTTAATCATAAAATTGTAACAAAGATGGAGCCCAGATATAGTAGTGAAGGGATTGTAAGAAGCTACATTTGCTTAACTTCTCCTTAGGCTCTTCTACAAAATTGCGACTCTTTCCTCCATGCTGGTGATCCTGGAAGCTTGAGCAACTTCGGAAATCAACCCCGGAAGACTGTGTGGAAACCAACCCTAGTGGGGAGCAGGGGTTGGTTTCCATTTTAACTTAAGGAGGGTCACATAGGGGGAGTGTAGGTATAGGTTAAGGGTTAAGGAAGGTAGTGGCTCAATCTTTTTAGGTTGTAGAGCCATGGAAGAGGAAGATGAATTAACAAGGAATGCAAAAATATCTAAATTTCATGATTTTGACATAAAAAATGTTATAGATCAAAATGTAATAAGAGGAACACTTGAAAATAACCTGTTTGCTGACTTAAGGATGATTGCAGCATTTCAATTTCGATTCTAACTAGACAAATGGTGCTATTTCAAATTTCCGAAGAATATGTATCAAAGAAAACATGTTTGGAAGACATTCAATAATGTGTGATATGAAGGACTTCTGTACACACTAGATAAGTTGAAAATGCCACTTTAAGAGAATTTAGACATGTGATAACAATTACTTTTTAAATGGTCCTTGTGAACTTATGTGTTCATAGCAAATGGCTCTGTAAATGTCGCTTATAACATCAAGAGCGATATTGTATGCCACCTAATTCCACATGAAATAGCAGTGACAGCAACATATCACGGGGGCTTCTTACTAAGGTAGGTGTAAAATGACGTTAGGAAATGAAGTCTTTGGAATTTACATTGGAAATGGGACTAATTCTTCCCATTATACTTGAACTGCCGTTCTCCCATGTGATTTTAACCTGATATCAAAAGTAACGGAAGTATTACTACCTACGACCCGTGCGCAATACGACAGTACATTGGAAATAGTTTTCAGAAACAGATAAGAACTATATGATGGTTATGGTGACAAAGATCGTATAGAACCATCTGATAGTTATCATTGCACATTATGTGGCTATTCCTTTATTAACCCAAAAACTTCAGGTATTAAAATCCTTCTAAATCTCAAATTTTTGTCCCTAAATCATCCCTTCTTGCGTTCCTTCTCTAACAATAATAATTAAATCTTTTCAATTCGCTGCTTTTCCAACATTGGAATTGTCTTAATCAGAAGCCCAATTTTCTGCCCACGCTATTAAAACGAAAATGAAGTCACAAACTAACTAAACACTTTCATTTACTGCCATTCAGAGACAGCGAAATATCTCTTAAGGACAGTATGCATCAATATGTAGGTCTGCTATTGTATATGTTAAGATGTCTTATATCAATAATGCTAGTTTACAAGATACAAGCTGTTCAATATTGTACTTCTTATTAATCGTGTAACTTAAAAACGAAAAATTTTAAGATAAAATGTTGGGAATGAACATTGTAAAGAATCAACTACAACTATGGACACATTAAACTTCATAATAAATCATAAAAATATAATTCATGAACGATTTCTTGCTAACTATTTCGCATTATTAAATGCTCAAATCTTTAAATTGTGATTTTTTGATAACATTTCTGAAATAAATCTAAAACGAAAGATGCTAGGAGAAAATATTGTGGACGAGAATTGTTTAAAATCAACCAACAAAACATTACTTGCAAGTTGTTATAAAGCAATTATGATCAATACCAACCTAGTGGATTTAAACTCCCAAACATTTTAAATATGACGCATTTAACCACAAAATAGATTTAATTCAAAAGTTTTAAACTCTGGTTGAAAATGATATTAATAAAATTTGTTCATAATAAATCACAAAATCATACCTCATATACAATTTTATTACAACTATTTCGTATTTGTAGTTAGAACGATATAATGGCCTAGGACAAAAAGTGATTTAATTGATATTTTACATCTGAATGTTTTTTCATAAATACAAAGACTGGCATAACATATTAAGTTGTGAAATCCAATTTGTTACGCTATTATTTGGGTAGATAAGCATCTCAATAACATGCGGCTTATTAATGACCTTCTATGTCTTGTAAACAAGATGTTGACACGGTAAAGCTTATTTTGTGAGGTGTCCAACTCTGAAGGATCTAACAATAAGACCGAGGTATTACGGGGATGTCTTCGCAAAGTTCCTATATTGGTGATGTAGGTGATATTTAATTTAATCGTTATTAATACTTCGTTCTCTACTATCTTGCAAAGAAAGATTAAGTGCGCAATCTTTTGTGATTTATTTTTTTTTATACTTGTTTTTATTAAGATAACTTGACGACCTCGTTATTTACAAATGTGTTATAAAAATAATTTAATTTAATTAAAAGAATGTTTTTTTGTAGGTAAACAAAAGATATGAATACGCCTTTTTTAACTCTATTTAAATAAACTTCATACAGGAATGACGTGAGATTTTATTTTGAGTCGACATTAGGCATTGTTCCTGTGTAAAATTGTTCTGTGTCGAAATGGAAAATGGGCTTTCATTGCAATATCAACGTTTGTTGTTTTATTTAAAATGTCTCGGTAGATGTAATGATACGAGGTAGTAACAGAAAGTCAAGTGCTAAAAACGTAGTGTTTTCGGAAATTACTTTAGACTTTATGACCTGTTCTTTCTACGCAGGAGTTTTGATAGAATTAGAAACTCGATAAACTCCAACTAGTGTCCTACTTAAAACTTTTTTAAAGGGCAATACTTCTTTATTAGCGGGACTGACAGCACGTGCCTCGAATCGGCGAGCTTAAAACTTTAAAAACCTTGAGTGGCTACTTTTCCAGCTTCAAAAGCAAAACTGAAATTACAAAAGATTATGAAAACAAGATAAACTGTAGAATGAACACGAACACTTGTTGATTTTCTTTTTTAATTTTTCTTTGCCGTTTTGATTACTTACCTGTAGTCACGAATATTGTTACTGCCCAAACGATGGACCACATGTTTGCGTTTTTTCGTTTTCCCAAAGTAAATTTTTCAAAGTCTTGGTACTTTACTTTTTTTTCGTCTCTCGTTTCGACTAAATAAACAATCTTAACGACCAGGTTTTATTAGTTTACTTGAAAAACATTTCGCGTTCCAAGCCACTACTCCGAAAATCACGTAGTCAACGCGCGGAATAATCTTGATGCGTCGCGTAGGTGTTTGCACTGCGGAGGTGCGCGTCGTTCTGACCGACGCTCAACGTCGCGACGCTCTCTCCCACGCTACCAAATCGTAGCCCTTCGTGGGCGTTTCTCACCCCTGATTATTTCTGAACGCCTGATCCTGTTGGGTTTCCGTTGCCCTTATCAAACCCGCCACATTTTCCCTGAAAAGGACCTTCAGGAAATACAGAAACGTTTCAGAAAAAAATTACATCGCTCAAAAAGTAATACCATCAACTTTATTCGTTAAAATTAATTATTTTCAATCGATAAAGTAATATTTTTTTTAATCCAATTAAACGTTGCATTAATCCTTTTTCTATTTGAGCTGTTTTTAAACAAGAATTAAAAGGGGATTAAGAACGGAACCAATTAAAAACGTTTCAGATACTAATAAAGATAAATGATTTTTTGTTGTGCAAAGAGAGAGGGTTTTCGAGGCTAACCCCTTAACCGTTATTAACGTTCCTCATCTATCACCAAAAATTTCGCTCGATCCCTGTCTACCGTTTCACAAGAAGTGTTAAAGCGTTCATTTGTTATGCAAATAACCAAGCATAAACATAATATGGGTTAGGTGGGTATATTGTTACATCGCGTCGAGGTAAATACGAAACAAAATTAATCCGGGGTCTAAAATAATCCTTTAGTTGAAAAGCATCTTTTTTATAACAGGAGAAACGCACAACGTAAACTAATTACCGCTAAAAAATTGATTTAAACTCAACATGTTTTATTTTTAGCGAGCTTTTATTTTTTACTATTTGCATATATTAAAATAATATATTACCTTCGGTTGGTCTTAATAGCTCTTTACGCTCCCCTTTCGTTCCGAAACACGACCTAATCTAACGTTCCAAAAATACGACGGGTCCATTTGCATATATCACAAGCGTTATTTACGATATTTTTTAATCGTTTCGACGTTGAGAGTTCCGAAAAGAAAACACGAAATGGTTTTCCTTTGACATGCGCGAGATAGGTTTCGTATGGAATGAATTATTTATTAATTTCCTAAGGGGAGAAGAATCTAAGGAAGCGGAAGACTGAACGCAGTAATATTTCTCGACAGCATATGTCGTCCGTTCTCGGGGGTGTAGCTAAGTCTCTACTAAGACTAAAGCTCTTAAAGGTTCAATGGGTCGCCGGCGGATATCAATTTTATAAGCTCGAATGGACGAAAACTTCCTTTGGGAATTGTAAGGGATATTTTCAATTCCCAATCCCATAGCACGTTAGCGAACATTTTATTATCCTCTTTTTTAAAACGTCAAATCGATTATTCTAATGAGGACATTCATTAAAATTTAACTAATTTGTTAAGTTAAAAAAACTTTTTACTTGATAAAACACTCAGTATATGTTTAATGATAATCTTTTATGGCCTACTTCAGTGACGGGGGGTCGAAATTATAATATGTAAATCTGGCACCTTAATTAAATACCATAACGACCTATAGAATAGGCCGTTACGACCTTTGCTATGGCTACGCCTATTTGTTTCGTGTTGGCGGCTCATATTTTACGAAGAACCTAGGGTTGAATATACCTTTGCTTTGTTAAATCTTCCCCAGTTCAAGGTAGTAATAAAAACATTTATGTGAATATTATTTCAATATATCTATTTAATTTATTTTAATCATTGTTAAATGTTGCTACGATTGTGGAAAATCTAAATAAAGTAGCACAAATAAACCAGTTGATTAATCGAAATTGATATGGACAACTACATTTTCTTAGAATTCATTAATATAGCATTTGATAATTATGTGGGTCAAAGTAGAGGTAGTCGCTAGTTGTTGTATTATTAGTGGCTTGTCGGTTATTGTCCTAGATATTTTTTTCGATCAATTCCTTAAGTTCGCGTAAATAAATAAATAAATTAAAAGATGTATTTACGATTCCGACGTGTTCTACTCGTACTTATGATAGTCTACATAATGTAGAGGTCTGAAAAGTAAAGTTATATTTCTGCACTAAAGCAGTATAGCAGCAATAAATGGACCAACTTTCATCATTAAAACTTATCGTGATTTGAGTTTTGATTAAAGTCTGGACTTTGACTAAATGTTTATCATTATGATGATATAAATAGCAAATGGATTTGTTAATTATTGTTTGAAAGTTGTACACGATTGGCATATTTCTTCCGGATTACGAATTTGTACACCGGTTAATATTTACTTATTCGATTTCTTATGGAGAAACGAAACCCTCCTTTCATACTATATTGTCGTAGTGGCGTTATTGAACTCCTCTTGGTCCCAAACCTGCAGCATAATTTAATTTGGGATGCGGATTTTTGGAGCAAGATTTATATTCTATCGATATAAATTCCGAGTCAGTTTAACTCTTTGGTTTATTGAATGGCCTACTTTCGTAGTCAATTTTATAAATGATGTTATGATAATGATAGTACCTGGTAGAGAAATGGACACCGAACCGATAACAATATACGACGTGATCAAATAAACTAAGTTCTTCGAGTCGTATTATTTGCTAGATCCGACATAGGCAAGGTTATTTCTTTACTTATCGATGCATTTTGTGAAAACTCTAAACTTCTTGTGTTACGGATTGAAAGCGAAGAGAATGATGTGAGCTTATTCTGCCAAGAAGAGATTTCTAAACTGTCATAATTTACAAAACGAATTAAAAAATGCAGAATCAAAAGTCAAAATTTTTTTTCAAGCCGACTTTGAACAGGATCCATTAATTTATAATAAGCTTAATTCTTTATTAAAAAAAATAATACCTACTTTGGGTTCTACGGAAACTTTGAATGTGCCAAAAATGTGAGTATTAATAGCGAAGAGGTGTGTTGTAGACACGACATCGGTAGCCTAAGCCAATGAAACTAGCTGCACAGTAAACAGTGTATCTCAAAGGAAATCGTCGATCGCGTCAATTTGCTAAATTGGAAAGCAATTGTAAAGCTCACCGTTTAATTAATGCATCTTTTAGATTAAACTAAGTGTTCAAGGTATGGAAAATAGCAGAAATAATAATGATGCTTAAATCACCCAATAAAGATTCATCTTACAGGCCAATCTCTCTCCTCCGTGTAATTTCAAAACTGTTCGAAAAAATATTTCTTAAACAATTAAAACGAATGATTGAAAAGACAAATATAACCCCAGACCATTAGTTTGGCTTTGGAGAGGGTCGCTCAAGTATTTATCAGATTCAGAGGATCATAGATATAATTGAAAAGTCGCTCGAAGAAAGAAAAGTTTATTCCACTGTATTCCTAAATGTAGCTAAGGCTTTTGATGGGGGCTCACTACAAATTAAGTAAGCACTGACCTACCCAGTTTTCATAGTTCGTGAAGACTTATTTCTCGGATCAAGCCTTCAGAGTTGAACTTAAAGCAATTACCCAGGAGTACCACAACGCAGTGTACTAAGACCAGTGATTCATTAACCATATACAAGTGATATTCCTGAATTAGAGCATTTTTAGAGCATTTGCCGATGATATTGCTATAATGATCACAAAGAAGCGGTAATAAATTTACAAACATCAGTTAAGTAAATTAGCAACTGGTCCAAGACATGGAGAATGAAGTTAAATCTGTAGGATTGCGTATTTTTGGTAGCTTAGTTTATATCAAGAAATGGCGAACAAGTAGTTTATTATAGGTTTACTTCAGCTATATCGTATCGTATCATATCAGCTTTTCGGAAAGTGCTAAGAAGACTAGAAAGTCGAAAACAAGAGCTAAATTTAATGATATTTATGTACCAAAGTTGTGTTACTTTTATTTATGTACCTGTGATGACGAACTATGATGTTCAAACTTTACTAGCAAAAGAAGACGCATCCCAAATGATTAGTACTGGTGACACGGATGTTAAGACAGAATGAATATGATATTGAGGAGCAAGATTGCAAAAACAATTATGAAAATGATGAAACAAAATAGTGGAAATTTTAGATTCCGGATAAGAGCCGGGAAACTTGCTTTTGAAAATGGTATACTTCAGGGATGGTTGACGCATTCTATTCTTCTTAGACATCATTACGAGTAAGTAAAGTTTGTATACCGGGAGTTACAATGCAATTCTTCACTAGTTTGAGTTAATGTTGGGTTGTACTACTGGTGTAATTTGTAACATTTGCAAACAAATTTTGGACTCGTCAAGCTACCTTTATAAAGTCACCGTAGTCTTGTTCACATCATTCTTTGGATCTTACTGAATGTGGTGATTTTTTTAGTTACTCAGAAGTGAATGCAGTTCCGCTAACTATCAGCAGACTCAAAGCTATTCTTTCCCATTGGTATTACAGTGGACAAAGGGGAAGTTTTCTGGAACTAAATAGCCTCAAAAGAGAGTCATAGTAATTTTACCCAAGATTAACACGGTATTTTGAAGGTTAAGTAAGTATCGATAACGGCTTTATGAACACTACAAAGGGTCATGACGACAATGGCAAAATTCACATTACATCTATGCAGTTGAAAGCTCTCGATATATTTATTGCTTATTCGTTTCTCGAGACCCTTCACAGATAGACTAAGCACTGCCAATGCCAATTTAACTGTTTGGCGGTGGAATATCTCGATAGGCTGGATAGGTTTTATCGCCAATAATAAGAAAATACAATATTAGCTTTAGAAAGGCCTCCACGGATACTTTGCAGAAACTTTATCAACGCTTAAAGTGTGGTTATGCCTTCGAATTTGTTCAGAAATTGATCCTAGGTATCCAATAAATGATGGCAGTTTCTCGTCTTAAACACCCTCTATCTACATTATCAACATTAATGTAATGCATGTTGATTCACATATACTTAGGTATTTGGTATCTCGAGTACTAAGATATTCCGGTCTTTTGGACTCACCTTGTGGGTGTATAAACTGGAACTACTGGTTAGGATCACATTTCTGTTTCAGAGCATTCAATAAATTGTTGGCATCTGAGCTGTATATCAAATTTCCTTGAAGAGAGCAACAAGTAACTGCACTTCCTGTTTTGTCAGTTGAAAAAGCAGTGGAATC